AGACCCAAAACAAAATCAAGTCATAGGTTTGAGATGAGAATAACAGTATACCAATGGTGTGACAGGCCCAAAAAAATCATGTACCAATGACGATTGCTACTTCTGTATGGTGAACATGTCTTGTTATAGATGAGAATAACAGTATAGAGGCCAGAGAGTTGCAGCCAATCTGCTTGTGGACCCAAAACAAAGTCAAGTCATAGAAGTTTGGGGTACCAGTGGTGTAACGGGAGCCCCCAAATCATCATGACGATTGCTACTTTTTTATGGTGAATATGTCATAGGAGAAACCGTCACAGTCAAGTTGAAATCTGTTTGGACCCAAAACAAAGTCAAGTTTAACAGTGGTGTGGCAAACTATCATGACGATTTAATGAATAGATCAATGACCATTTAGCACAAGCCTATGGATGTAGAAATACTTGGGTTGTTTTCTAAATGCAGGGTAATCCCACTGGACCACTTAGCCTTCCTAAAAGTAAACATTGATGTAACAATTGCGACTTCAGAGCATCCAATGATGTTGACTCGTTCTTCCTCTGGACAACATGCTCTTTTTGCCCAGGGAGTGGAATTGACCCATTGTAAAGTCTTTCCCCAATTATGTCTTCTCTACGTATGTGGTGGATATATGGCCAAAAAGCGTTGTTTCGTGATTTCACCAGAAGAGGATAGCAAGCTTACTTTGGTGTGAAGATTGGAAATCAAGATAACTCATAAAGCTTATAAGAATTGTACTGAAATCCTTCGCTTGTGGACTCAAGGTAAAGTCAAATCAATGAAATTTGAAGTACCAATGGTGCAGTGAGAGCCCAAAGATGATCATGGCGTTTGCTGCCTCTGTATGGTGAACATGTCTTGTTACAGATGAGAATAACAGTATAGAGATCAGAGAGTTGCAGCCAATCTGCTGCTACCAGGCATGCAGACAGGATTTGTGTATGAGGCTGTACCGGTGACCGAGCGTCTATATATTTCAAGAATACAAAACATTAATCATTAATTCTAAGCGTAAATTATGCCAAATTGACCCTGACGTTTTCTGCTACATATGTGTTGAATATACAATAAAAGAGCATTGTTTGAATGTTCAAGATTTCAACAGAAGAGCTTAACAAGCTTGCTTTGATGTCTGGTCAAGGACACATAGCACAGTGGATAAAGGCGTTGGTTATATCCAGTGAGAAGACCCAAAGAGCGTGAGTTCAATACCCGGTTAAGGCAATGGAGAACTTTCAGAGGGAAATTAACAGGAGATAACTGATAACTGACATCCATCAAACATGGCACGTGGAACTAGAACAGTCTGCCCCAGTGAGCGAAATAAAGGGTTCAGTTCAACATTCCAACCACCTGAAGAAGGCCGGAGCGTACAACGGCCGAAAGGTTGTAATAAATATGGCGACAAAGAGGAGGACATGAGTCCGAATAATGTAAATAATGTACATAATACTTGATCTCAGAAATATAGACATTAGTATTGGTATTGGAGAATCTGGAATTCTGAAGAGGGATTTAGACTGTTCAAACAACTGAAGAGCTGAAAGTGGATACTGAGTCAGGCGGCGATATTTATATTGACCTACTGTCGCTCATGTCTTCCACCATGACAGCAAGATATCAGTTAAATGTCTGATATATAAGTAAATAGAGATTCAAGGAAGGTTTGAGAATATCTAAATGGTATTAAGTGGTATGCAGGTGACGTAATGGAATTTGTTACATTCACTTATGCGCAAATACCAATGGGAAAGTTATGTATTCATCTCATCTTCCCCAGTTATGGGTTAAATAGTAGGATTCCTATATGAAAAAAAATTATTATCTCCCAAAAATTCTTAATGCAATATTCACTCGTTTAAAAAAAGGAAGAATTATTCTTACAATCTAAAATATATTTCAGCTTTAAATAATAAACCAAGGATGGATAAAACGTTTAAAAAAAAAACAAAACAAATCAATTAATCAAGACCAACGGTACAAAGGTTACTGAGCAAATTGTTGAGCCGTCCTGCGTATGACGATAAACTACATCTGGCAGCAATGTCTCTGATTGGGAGATTGGAGGAGCGTGGAACCTCTTCTTAACATCTGTTATTCGCAGGTCCACCCTAACATGGAGTAGTAGCACCTATTAGGGTTCAAGCTATTGGGCAAATAGCGAACCCCACCAAACAGTACATTTTTATGATACAACTATCAATAGTACACTCTATCTACAAAGTTTTTATAAACGTACGAAATTATAAAATTATGCACCAAATCTCTAGCTGAAGACGTGTAATTGCGTACAAAATATGCAGAATTCGGTATTAAATGACCCATAGATGTCGATATGCCGTTAAACAAAATCAATCAATGAATCAAAAAATTGTTAAGGATTTCTTCTCAATTAGTCTCAAGTGATAACCATACATATCTCGTGTAAGTAAGAAATAAGAATAAGAACAAGAATAACTACGACTATCCGTGTTGTGATAGGGGCATTGGATATGATAGAGATGGGTACCGAAAATCATGTGAGTACAATTCCTGGAGGCATCTCAGAGCTACAAAAGATTACTTTTTGCGAAATTTCACATATCATCCGGAAAAAAACCCTGTCCATCTAAACGAAACGTCGCAAATCTGCATAGATAACACCCCTACAGCGCCCTTTTACTCATAGTCCCCGGAGCGGGGACTTGGTAATTATCCACTTAAAATAAATCTCTGACAAGATGATACCACAAATAATAATAATAATAATAATAATAATAATAATAATAAATTCCAGTAGACTAATTGAAGATTCCAGTAGAGTAGACTAATTGAAGGGATTCCTGGAAGTCCATGCCTCAAAGAGATACAAAAAATTGTTCTGACAAGTACAGCCCACAGTTTACGAAGGACTTTATCTATGTAATATTTATTTATTTATTTTTTGTTTTTTTTGTCAGTGGAAAGTGTGATGATGCCATTTCTAACCTTAGGTCCCTGGGCGGGACCCGGAAAGAAATGTGTAAACGCCAGAAATCAAAGAAAATAAAAATAATAATAATAAGTGTTCTAATTAGGACTTTGATAGTCCTTGGTATGACAATACACTACACCCTGCAGCTAGACCTCTGATTGAGAGATTGGGTTTTTTCAGGAGCATGGAACCACCTCTTAATTGGTGTTGCTTTCAGGACCCCCCCCCCTGAAATTTTTAGGGTCCCAGCTGCTGACCCTCCAAACAAAAACAAAACACTATGAAAATATGAAAATACATTTTTATAGTCAGCATACCAGCAATATTTTTTCATATAAAAATTACCAACAATGCATATTTACAAAAACAATTACCAACAACACATTTCATAATAGAATTACCAACAATACATTTTATAGCAAAATGACCAATCTGTAGTTGAAGGCATACACCTGAGTTCGAAATTATTTAATTAAAGCCATAAAATTGCGTTCAAAATATTTAGATTTCGGCATTACATAATCCATAGAGGTGTTGATATTCTGCTAAACAATAACAAACAACCAACATTAGGACTTTGGGAATTCTAAGAGCGCCAACAAATACATGCAACGAATCCCCAGAAGCGGTAAATATAAATAAATTGCATAAAATCATCTTTATTGGTAAATCTGATATCTTGCGCAAATTTCTCTCTGTACAGTAATCAAAATTACATATATTTCTCTTTGATTGTATGACATTATATCAGTTTGCATCAAAAGATGCAAAAGCTTGTAGACTTTTGAACGGCCAGCCGACGATACGAACTGCCTGGCTTGAGATTTGTAGCCAAATCAATAATAATAATAATAATAATAATATTAATAATAATTTAATCTCTATTCATGAGCGGGGATAATGAAGGAGCGAGAGAATCATGTCTAGGCATCGAGCCGACTGTTTTTTTTTAAGTTTGAAGGATGAGATGACCAAGGTGACTTTAGTGTCACAGCAAAACATTGGGAGACTGTCTGAGGGCTGAATTACCTGACCTGAACGTATTTTCAACTAGTATCCAAGGTTAGATATGAAAGGTTATATATGCGGCGTTTGTAAAAACCTGTGACCATATCACACACACACACACATTTGACCGTGATGAATGCGTCTGTTATGTTCTTATCAGACTGGCTGTCACAATGGGTATATAGGTTTCATATAGTTACGCTCCAGTGTTGTTGGTCGCACTCTTATTCAGTCAACATCATCACCACCACCACCACCAACAACAACAACAGCACTATCTTCATCACTGCCACCGCCGCCACCACCATCATCATCATTATCATCAACAACAACAACAACAGCAACACAACCACTAACACAACCACCACCATCATCATCACCATCAACAACAACAGCAACACCATCATCATCATCATCGTCACCAACACCAACACTATGATCATCATCAACACCACCAATAACAACAACATCAGCACAACCACTAACACGACGACCACCACCATCATCATCATCATCATCATCATCGTCGTCACCAACAACAGCAGCAACACAACCACAACCATGACTAGGAGCACTACCATCATCATCATCATCATCACCATTACCATCACCACCACCAACAACAACAACAGCAAAAACACCGTCATCATCATCATCACCACCATCACCACAACCACCATTATCATCATTATCCTCATCATCACCACCAACGAAAACATCAATCTCAGCAGAACCACCAACACCATCATCATCATCGTCACCACCACCAGCAAGAACAATAGCAGCAGCAGCAATACAACCACGACCATGACCACGACCACCATCATCATCATCATCATCATTATCATTGTGTTATTTCTATCTCGTTTTCATAATCATTTCGCCATCATGGATTGAATTCCAAATCTAGTGTCCTTCACTTTTCCTCTCTAATCACTTCAAGGATGTGTTCTATGTAGACGTAATTTTATCCTCTGCAAGCAATCACCATGGCGTGAGATGGTCGATTAGGTTTCGATTTCTTCCTCTTTTCCTTCTCTTATAAAATCGAATGATGCAGACAGTTCCGGATTAAATGAGAAATGTGAAGACAGAAATCACAAAGAAAGAAAGAAAGAAAGAAAGAAAGAAAGAAATCACAAAGAAAGAAAGAAAGAAAGAAAGAAAGAAAGAAAGAAAGAAAGAAAGAAAAAGTCATCAATCGAGTTAAGAAAACAATCAGAAAAAAAAGACAAAATGACAAAAACTGAAGCTTTAAATAACTGACAAAATAAGAAATAAATAAAGAAAGAAAGAAAGAAAGAAAGAAAGAAAGAAAGAGTGAACAAACAGGCAATGAAGAAAGATAAAAAAAAGTCTGATCCATTCATCCATCAAGAAAGAAAGAAATACGGAAAGAAAATGAACAATTAAGTAAGAAAGAAATCAGCAAATAAAGAAAACATGATGGATGAAGAAAGAAAGAAAGAAAGAAAGAAAGAAAGATCCATAAAAAAGAAAGAAAGAATGTGATCACTCACGTGAGAACGCAATCATGAAAGGTAGATAAAGAGAGAAAAACATACAGAAAGCTAAAGAAAGACAGAAAGAAAACCATCAATCAATCCAGAAAGAAAGCCATCATGAAAGCAGTCATAAAGAAAAACGAATGAAAAAAGCGAAAAAAAAAAAAGCGAAAGAAAGACAGAAAAAAAGAATAAAAACAATCAAGAAAAAAAAGTAACCAAGAAAGAAAAATATGCACTAAATGCGGGAAAATATTAATGACATCATCGAGTAGGCAACGAGCACAAATAGGGTAGACGGGATTACGATTATTATATTTTAGAAGCGGGGAATGAACACAATTATTATTGTCACTATTTTGATTTGGCGTATTGGATGCTGCATGAATTGCAATCGATTTGCTTTTATGAAGATACAAATAAATAGTGCGCTTTCACGTTATTCCAGATAATCGGAGAAATGTATGGAAGGCATTAAAAGCCACAATGTTAATTGACTTTTTTTCTATATAAGGATTAAAAAGGTTTGAACAGTTAACAAAACAGAGTTTAGTTTAGTACAGAAATACACTACAAGGACGCGTAACAGGTAGCAAATTCACTCCCCGGGCAAACTGGCCGAGACAAACGAAATAAACTTGCTGCCAAGCTAGCATAGACCCCTATATATATTTACCAAACTAAAAGTCTGTTTGTCTATCTCCTCCTATATTTTGATTCCCTTGTTCAAATTTTAATTTAATTTCAATGAAAGGGGGAAAAAATTTGTTTTTTTTTAGGGGGGGCGCAAAAACTGCTTGATCTGACACTTTGATATGTATTTGGTGTAATACTTGATTGAATGAATTGAGGAGCAGATTTTAATATTGATATGACTGAATTGTCATAACAAATATGTATTGTAAGGCACTACCCACTGATTAGTGATTTCTTGCTCAACTTGACTTCCATATTGTTTCATTTTGATCTTGCTGTTGTGGCCTGCATCTTCTGGCTTTCTCCTTCTATGTTTTGGATAAGATCCATTCCCTTGTTCAAATTTAAATTTAATTTACACGCACACTGACCACTTCTTTCCAAGCATTTCTGTCATCCATAGCTATAACAAGTTCTTTTTTTTCTCATTCCGATATCTTCGATGATTCATTTTTAACCAATTCACTCCAAGTAAGGCAATAAACCTACTACGACGCAGTGGGGTACTGAGTGTGAAAGAATATAAGAAAAAGAAATTTAAAAAGGAATTAAGAAGACAGACGATTAACGTTGCATTTAAATTTTTGAAGATCAAGATTGAATAGAAAGCAAGAAGCCGGAAGAGAGTTGCATAAGCGAAAGGCTTCTCGACGAGGCTCCGTGCTTCGTATGTGTCAAACGTTCTGATTGGTCTAAAGTTCCCTGCAGGCTGGAAGCTCGATGTTGTACGACAATGGCTACTGAAATATGGCATGTTTGAAAAAGTTCTTTTTTGAATTGCCCTAATTTTAAATAGTAGTTAATCTGTTTTCATAAGCAAAATATATCGAGTGAATAAATTGCTCTTTCCTTCACTCGCCCGATGTGGGCCGCCATCTTCTCTCAAGACACGAGTATCCTCTCTTTTATTGTTACTAGCAACACTTTCTTCATCACCGTTCTTCTTCGTCGTTTTGTGTTTTTTTTTTTGTTTTGTTTTTTTCAGTTGTTCTTTTATTGCCTCAAGATTTCAAAATGTCTTTTCTTTATTTGTCCCTGTTTTGTTTTTACTCTTTCATTCAATACCCGGATGGCCAGTGTTTTTTCCCTTTCTCCCTATGTAGGGAAAAAGTAAAATAAAAAAAAAACAGTTTTTGTAGCAGGATATATAGGGGGATTGAAAAGTAACTCCTTATTTTATGTATAATAGACTCTACCGTCTTGTAAGAATTATAGTTAAACGGAGAGTCCATCATACAAAAAAAAAGGTACTTTTCAATCACCCTATATATCAACATTGCTATCATAATGACAACATACTTGACTACGTGGGAACAGTTAAATACAGGAAGAGTTCCAAACGAGAAGTGCGAGAAAAAGAAATTGTTAGCATATGACCTACAGTTTACATCTGGACACTTCAACTGTAAAATAATAGACCATACCACCAATCTAGTACTGTGTAACTTCATAAAGTCAATGTACCGTAGAGGAAAGTTCATAAGAACAATTACAATGAAAATATATACAGAAAAAAGCACAGGAAAGCTACATTACGGCCGAAGCAAAGTGGTGAAACCAGGACCATTGCAGATTCTTCTTTTTGTAGTTTATCAGGAATCTCTAAATACAACAGAAGCATCGGATGTGGCAGCCATATTCTAAGACGTAAGACAGATTCTCTCGAGAAAAAAACTGTCTGGCATGACAGTGTGAACCAACCTTCCTAGCAGCAGACCTCGCAACTGATTCAATATAATCTCTCCACTTCATGTCAGCTATAAACTTAGAGATTAGTTCTATAACCGTTAATTAACAAGTGGTTATATTATCATGCATTTTTGATGAATCATTGTCAATCATAATAAGATTCCAGCTGTTTTTTCATGAAAATCTATTCAGACCTTCATTCATTTACTACAACTAAAACTTCGATATTATCTGAAATTTGTTTGTTAAATGAATTGTTTTGAATCACTAAACTGTGTAACACGATTTTTCTTGGTTAGCAACTGTTATTTCCTATATGCTTATGCCTAGAAAGTATGAAAAATGGCTAATATTTCCTTCAAACATCGCTTTCGTCTTCAGCTGACATGAAGTGGAAATTCTACATTGCTAGATCAGCTGATAAAAAAGTCGTTTCAGTGTCATGTGAGATAATTTTTCTCTCTTACAAATCTATATGTCTACCATTCGTCCATGCTTAGACTATTTCTGCCACATATGGTCCAGTTGCTTCTGCTATTTACCTTGAGCTCCTTGATAAGATCCAAAGAAAAATCAGCAATATTATTAGTCCTGTTCTGGTGGCTCAGCTTCAGTCACTTGCACACCAACGTAGAGTTACATCTCTGTGCCTCTTTTATAAATATTTTCATGGTAGTTGTTCTGATGAGCGCCTTGACTTTATGAGTTTAAGCGCGGCACTAGACTGACGTCGAGATCTCGTCAATTTACAGTTGAGCTGGATAGATTTAACCGTAAATTCTATGCTAAAAGTTTCTTTTCTGATATCAATGATATGTGACTGTTCGCAGCTCCTGTCGAACTCTCTGCCCAAGGCAGAAAGAACCCGGACGAGGTTCCGCCGAAGGGCAGAGTTTCGCCCGGGGAGGTAGACAGACCCGAACCCGTTTATGCGGGTTCTACGGGGACTGTTTGGACGAGCCTAGGGGTTCGGATGATCCACGTTAAACTCGGCCTTGTGCCACATACCACCCTCGTGGGGTGGGGTTGTTAAATATGACAGTTTCTCTTCTCGCACTTCTCGTTTGAGGAATCCCCCTTTCGGCTCCATGCGTTCCAACCAACTTTAATCTGTAAAAATTTAAATGCAATGTCAATCGCTACCTACTGCCCTCCTTATTACATTTTTCTCTTTCCGCTCATTATTAACGTTTCTGTTGTTTATTCTTTCACACCCTGTAACTCCTTGTGTCTTAGTGGCTTTACTGCCTTGAATGGGGTGATACCGATTTAAAAAAAAAAAAAAGAAAAAAAAAGGATAATTGTATTTCTGATCTATCTGTTCCCATTGGGAAAACTGGCAAAGGTGGACATTGTCGTTCACGCAAAGTAGGAACAAGATGATATATGATTCTGTTATGTAGGAATAAAGTGTCGCTGACGACACTTGAGTTTGAACACAGACCGACAGAGAACAAACACAGGCGTTCCCATTATTAAATTAAGTGGATCACGTGACCATGGGAGAAAAGCATAAGTAGGTAGTAGCGTGACGTCTAAATGATTGCTATTTCTAGTCTATCTTCTATTATTATTCGGATCTCTATTTCTAGCCTATCCTCTATTAATATGCGTATAGCTATTCTCTATACTATTTCTCTATACGGACCACTATACAGTGGTTACTATTCGAGCATTATAGAGCAAGTAGAACTAGTGCGAGTGATATTTGAAGCGCCTGACACCAGTATTGTTCAACCGCATTACTATAGTTATATCTACGATTACAAAGTCTCTACTACAACGAGTGTGCGTTGACATCACATATGTTCGTGCGAAGTACATTCCTTTGTTCCGTCAGTTCAGACCTTCACATCTAGTACCTAACATGCCACGTAGATCCTCACTCCCTTCATATTCTGTTGGCAAGGAGTAATTTTCGCTCAGACATTTTCTTACTTAGAAGTGTTGCATTATGGAACTTGCATTATGGAATTAGCGTGGCATCTAAGTGATCGCTATTTCTACTCTATCCTCTATTACTATACGGATCGCTATTCTCTATACTATTTCTCTATACGGGTTACTATTCGGATTACTATTCGGTGGTTACTCTTCGAGTAAGTACTATTAGTGGGAGTGATATTCGAAGGCGTCTGACACCAGTATTGTTCAACGGCGTTACTATAGTTGTATCTGCGATTACAAAGTCTCTACTACAACGAGCATCACGAAAGTGACAACGAGTATTTGTTGACAACACAAAAGTGACAACGAGTATTCGTTGACCTCACAAAAGTCTCGACGAGTGTTCGTTGGCATTACAAAAGGAACAACAGGTATTCGTCGACATCACAAAAGTGACAACGAGTATTCGTTGGCATTACAAAAGGAACAACGAGTATTCGTCGACATCACAAAAATGACAACGAGTATTCGTTGACATCACAAAAGATTCAAAAGTAGTATTTCTTTCATTTCCGTTGTC